GTCTCCCCAGAGGACACTTCTTAATTATCATGGGAAAGATAGCAACTGTACAGTAGAGAAACCTTATAGACCTCACTTAACCAAGTTATTAAGGTTAAATCACTAGTAATAAGACACATTCATGTCATGAACCTCCTGCTCTCATGCACTGAAAAGGGTATCTCACCTCTGTGGTTCTGCCCCCAAATGCATGCCCTCAAGCTTATCATGAGAAAACATCTGAAAAACCAAAAATTGAGGGACATTCTGCAAAATAACTGATCGATACCCTTTAGAAGTAGCAAGGTCACGAAAGACAAAGAAAAACTGAGGAGCTGTCACAGATTGGAGGGGACTAAGACATGAAAACTAAATGCAATGTGGGATCCTAGATTGGATCTTGAATCAGAAAAAGGACATTCGTAGGAAAACTAGTGAAATTCAAATAAAGTCTATAGATTGGTTAATGGTATTAGATCAGGGTTAATTTCCCGGGTTTGATCATTGTACTATCATTAAGATGTAAGATGTTAACATTAGGGAGTTCTGGATGACAGGTATATGGGAACTCTCTGTACTATGTTTCCAACTGTTCTGTAAGCTGAAATTATATCGAAAGAAAAAGAAAAAGAAAGCATAAATCCTTGAACCTCAAAAAAAAAATCTCAGGTGTGTCCTCAATATGTTTGATTAAACTAATGGTTTAAGTATAAAACACATACAAAATTTAAGGAAAAAAACTATAAAACCAAGCTAATAGCAAAAGCTGTAACTAAAACTCATGTAGAGACAGCTGTCAAAGACTTGAGGTTTACAGAGGACCCATCCCTAGAGCATTGAGCTCTGTGATCTTATTTCAGGGATTGGAATACACGGAGAAACTCAGATTCTTATTTCCATCTTATATCTGTTGCAAGAGACCCTTCCACTAATATTCCTCAGAAGGTGTTTGAATGCCTGTGATAACGAGGAGCTCACCACTCTCTTCCTTTGGATGACTTTTAGTTTGTGCTACTAATAGCAATGAGAAATTGGAATTGGAATGAACCTAAATGAATAGAGCTAAGTAATTGTAGCTACCATGATGATAGAGCACTGTTTAACCACTGAAAGTGATAAGAATGTGGCTTATCTTAATGCCTGGAAATGTGTATGTAGTAATCTTAAGTGAAAAGAGCAGACAGAAGCTGCATTTATACACTGATTACAGCTATGTTAAAATCAAAGTGTGTACATTAAGAGCTAGAAGATAATTTAGAATGGTGCAAATAGTTTTAGTTTTGAGTTGCCTACATTTTTTAAAAATTAGTATACGTGTAGAATTCTAAATAAAATTTAGTATCCAGAATTTAAACAAACAACCCTCCATTAAAGGACTTGAGGATTGTCATTTCAAGATTGATTGAGAATGGCTGCATGGAGCACTAGATTGAAAAGGATCCTAACACACAGCGTCCATGACAAAGAGTGATATGTTTGATTAGTGATGTCTGCCATGGGTAAAGGATGAGCAGTGGCCCTGTGCATGCTATGTAGTTGCCATCTCTTCTTGAGACACTGCCAACAACCAGTGTCACTTCTGTAGACATTCTGAAAGATGAATGAGCTATTTATGGAGCCATGTTCAGGAAGAGACCTCTTCTTTTAGTTACAAGTGGTAGGATTTGTGGCAAGTCACTGGGATAAAAGATGATATAAAATAAATACTAGTCTATGGCCATGCTACCCTGAACAAGCCTGATCCTGTCTGATCTCGGAAGCTAAGCAGGGTCGGGCCTGGTTAGTACTTGGATGGGAGACCACTTAGGAAGACCAGGTGCTGTAGGCAAAAAAAAATAAAAAATAAAAAATAGGGGATTGTAAGCTGACAAGGTCCTTGCAATCTGTGAGGTCAACCAAGGGTTGCCTCGCCTAAAATAAAA